ACAACCACCGTATAGATAAAAATACGATCCGTCATTATTGGTTCTTTCATTGAGAGGTGTTGATCGTACTTTTATCTATCTATCTTTTTTTTTTTCAGTTTTGCCTTTTGCTGAGGGGCCGAATTTTTTGTTCTTTTTTTTGGTTCGAAAATTTCGAATTTTTTTATGCGAATTTTACAATTTTTTTTCGTGAGTCTTAAAAAAAAAGTGTCATCTAGTCCTTTGTTTTTTTCGGTTATTACCTTTTGTTGAGTGGCCGAATTTCCCTTTGTTTTTTGAATTTTTTTGGGTTCGAATTTTTTTCGAATTTATAGAGTCTTAAAAAAAAAAGAGAGAGTCATGATGTTACCATTGGATGAGTTGGATCTGGAGGATCTTGAGTCTCTCGAAGGTTTGGAAAGGGAATTAACCGCATGGGAGCAGGAGTTTTTGGAGGAGCTTCACGAACGTAGAGATTGGGAGGAGCGTGAACGACAACTCGTGGAAGCCAGGAGAGCTGAAGTGGTCGATGTCCAAAACAATGAAGATGAAGGTGCGCTGAATTTTTTAATCCTTGAGGACAAGGAAAGTCTTGAAGAGGAGGGGAATGATACGGAAGTGGTCATCAACCCAGGCGAGTCCAAAGAGGAAGGTGGCGACGATCTCGATATATGGCTGGAGAACATGCTGGAGGAGCCGACAAGTCCAATATACCGGCCATCATGTGTACGAGACTGGCCAAAAGGATGTGGTCTGAAGTTAAAGGTGAAGACTTAGAAACGCAAGGCCAAGCAAGCCCGAAGGAAACGAAAGGCGAAGGCCAAGGAATCACGTTGTGGGTGCAAGCCTTGTGCGAGGAAAAGGCGAGCACGAAAGAATGAGGTTAGAAGGCGAGGTTTGCGATGGGTTGAAGAAGTGTGGTGGATACCGGCAAAAGATTGCGTAAGGTTGAAGGGTTGGGATCCATGGCCCGAGCCGATGGGACTGAGCGGCAACAAGAAGGACGACGACGATCGGCTAACGGGCGAATGGTGCGCATCGGCCCATGATGCGCGCGGTTGGACGGAGCAAGATACATGTGGATGCACGGCAGTCGAGAATGCCGTGGAGGTCGACCGGGACACGTTGGCGTTTGGCAGTCGGATGGAACAAGGTGCACGCGGGTGGTCGAGTGATCACGCAAGAGATGGATCAGTACGCGGATGCACGAGCGACGGTGGAGGCACATGGTCGCAGGGCAAACACGAGAAAGGCGTCGGGGAATCGAGCGTAGGCGGCAACGCGCGAGAGATGCACGGCGATGACGCGGGCGATACGTCGGACGTACGCGGCACAGAGGGCGCACGAGGGTGCGAAGTAGATGATCGAGGATCGGGCGATGGCAGGGACGCGCGCAAGGAGGCTGACGGGGACGCGGAGCGCGCGATGGCGCGCGAGTGGGCGACAGGCGCAGACGCATGCCTATGCGTGATAGGCATAGGCGAGAGCAGCAGCACGCACGTGCGCGAGAAGTTCGGGCGCGGGACTGAGCGCATGCATTGACACGCTGATGAAGACCGTTTGTCTCGACTGTCGACAAGCCGCTCCCGCGCCTTAAATCGCTCGATAGGTGTTAGGAAGTCGCACACTCGCAGCCTTTTTAACGATTATAATTGCAATAGAAATCAGGAATAAAACTAGAGCAAAGAGTTTGAACAAAAGTTCGGATTTTTGTATTAATTTCTAAATAATCAAATTAACAAGAGGAAGGGCCTTTATATAGACATCAACTAGATCTAATCCTAATATACCTATAACTCTAATAAAGCAATAAAATATTAAGTGTCCTAAATAATCTAGAAATCATAAAGCAATAAGGAAACTAAATAACTAGGGAATCTAATGCCTTGGCTCGCACTCCAAGTCCGTGTTTCCTAATCGCCCAAGCACTAGGCTTCATCTTCCATCCCGTCGCTTGCGCGTTCAAACCCGTGCTCGTCCCCGATAATATCGAGGGCGTCATCTCCCGTGCGTGCTCGCCCGTCCGCGTATCGCGCCTCTCCGGCACGACGACTTAGCCTCCTTCGCGCATGCCACACGGGACTCGCCGCGTTCTTGAGCCTTCTCGCCGTGTCCGCATTATTCCTGTCCCCTTCAAGTGCTTCCTTGTCCTCAAGGAAGAAGTCGGGCAACATCTCGCGCATCTCGTCCCAACTCTGCCAAGTTGCTTCCTCATTCGGTAAATCCGCCCATTCGACGAGCACTTCCCAAAAATATTTTCCAGCATTTTTTGACTTGCCCGTACTCCATCGCACGGTTCGGCCGCACCATAACCTGCCCGTCCGGTGCGACCGCGGTAGTCGATCCTTTGCCGCATGCGTTTCGCCGAGTCGTTGCTTGAGTTGCGAGACGTGTAAGACCGGATGAATATGGGAATCGTCTAGCAACTCGAGTCGATAAGCAACCTTCCCATTTTCTAAGGCCCGTAATATCGAACTCCGAGTTTGGTCGCGGCCTTTTGCGCGGCCGTCCTTTGCCGAAACGGCCTCAACTTCAAGTATACCCAGTCCCCGGGCTCGAACTCCACGTCACGCTGCTTGCCATCATTGTACGCCTTCATCATATTGATCGAGCCCTCCAACGTCCGCTTTAGCTCGCACAACATCAAGTCGCGCTCGGCCAACTCTCGATTGACCTCATCGTTCACGGCGCTCCCCATCGAGTAACTCACGATCGTCGACGGTTTGCGCCTGTACACCAACTCGAACGGCGTCGCCTTAGTCGAGCTATGGTAAGTGGTGTTATACCAATACTCGGCCCAACGTAAATAATCCTCCCATCGCTTTGGAAACTGATGCACATAGCACCTAAGGTACTGCTCGAGCGTGCGATTGGTCACCTCTGTTTGTCCGTCGATTTGTGGATGATAAGCTGAGCTCATGCTTAGCTCGGTTCCCTGCAATTTAAAGAACTCTGACCAAAAGCTACTCATAAATATCCGATCTCGGTCGGACACAATTGACCGCGGCACCCCATGCAATTTCATCACATATTCGACAAACAATTTTGCTATAGACTTAGCCGTGTGTGGATGAGTAAGTGGAATAAAATGCGCATACTTGGTAAGGCGGTCGACTACCACCATTACTCCATTGAACCCATTCGAGAGCGGCAACCCCTCGATAAAATCCATGGTGATGTCCTCCCAATTACGCGCGGGAACCGGCAAAGGTTGGAGTAGCCCGCCCGGTCGACGCGCGTCCGCCTTAGTGCGTTGGCACTCATCACATCGCCCAACGTAGTTGCGCACATCGCCCCTCGGCCCCGACCAATAAAAAGTGCTCGCAATCCTCATCCAAGTCCGGAACACCCTGGAGTGTCCTCTAAACTTTGAGTCGTGGAAGTGTCGGATGATATCCTCGTGCAACGATCCTGCCTCGGGCACGACAACTCGACCAATAAAGGAGCAAACCATCGTGCATGTCATGGTCCTCGTCCTCGTCGTTTCCTACGTTCAGCTTCTCGATCACGTCCCGGCAATGCACATCCTCGTCTTGCGCCTTCCGAAGCTCGGCCCAAACGGCCCACATTGGCCCTGTCACTGCGTCGAGCTCGGCCACGTCTTTCCGGCGAGAAAATGCATCGGCCACGGTGTTCTGGCGACCCGACCGATACACTATCTCGAAGTTGAATCCCATCAACTTGGATACGAACTTCTGCTGCTCAGGCGTCACGATCCTTTGCTCGAGCAAGTGCTTGAGTGGCTGCTGGTCCATAACAATTCGAAAGCGTCGCTTAAGCAAGTACAGTCTCCACACGCATACAGCCTCGACCACGGCCAGTATCTCCTTCACGTACGCGGACAGCCCCAAGCACGCCGGCCCGAGTGCATTTCTGAGATAGGCCAAGGGCCAACCTTCCTGCACTAGAACCGCCCCGATTCCAATGTCGCTCGCATCCGAGTGAATCTCGAACAACACATCAAACCTCGACATCGCGAGCACGGGTGTGGTCGTCATGGCCTCCTTCAGTTCCTCAAAAGCCTTTTCGCTCGCCTCTGTCCACTTCAATGCTCCTTTGTTCGTCATTTCCGTTAGTGGCTTAGGATGGTCCCATAGTCCTTCACGAATTTTCGATAATAGCCCGTGAGACCAAGGAACCCACGCAACTGCGTCAAGCTCGCAGGCTTCGGCCACCCCACCATCTCCTCGATCTTCCCTTGGTCCACCTTAACACCCTCATGAGAAATAAAGTGCCCAAGGTACTCGACCACCTCTTGAGCAAATGAGCACTTGGACGGCTTGATATAAAATGAGTTGGCTGCCAAAATCTCCAAAACAACTCGCAAGTGCTCGAGATGATCTGCCCATGTTTTCGAGTACATCAAAATGTCATCAAAGTATACTAACACAAACTTACGTAAGTACCTTTTAAAAATCGAGTTCATGGCAAACTGAAAGGTCGACGGTGCATTGCACAAGCCAAAAGGCATTGCGAGATATTCGTAGTGCCCCTGGTGCGTGCGAAAAGCCGTTTTGGGCACGTCCTCCTTGGCTAACCTGATCTGATGGTAGCCCGCGCGCAAGTCTAGCTTGGAGAAGTAGCGCGCCACCCAACTCGTCCAGCATGTCGTTGACGCTCGGAATATGAAAGCGATCCTTCACGGTAGTGTTGGGAATTCCGACCACACCGAAACTCCGCCCAAGATCTACTGAAAATAATAAAACTGGAGAACACAAAATTTAAAGTGGAAAACCTCTGTTAACGAAGAGAGAAAAACCACCAGGGCAACAAGGCCGTAGAAAATCCACTATGTAAAAATTACACAATTTTTCTACACTCACTTATACCCAAAAATTACCCCACAGAATTTTCTATCCGTTAACCTTAACTCTCACCCTAAGGGATTTGTAACCAGAGATTAATTGTTAACACAATAACTCTGTGGGATGATTTTACATAAGAAGTAGCACCTTCTTATATAGGGGAAAACTCCCCTCCTCTCTCATCCCACTTTCGATGTGGGACAAAAGAGCAATAACCCAACAGGTAGCTGCATTGAGAGCGCGGTAGTCCGTGCAGAACCGCCACGTGTCGTCCTTCTTCTTTGCGAGCAGCACCGGTGATGAGAACGGGCTCGTGCTATGCCAGATGAGCCCGAACTCGAGCATCTCGCCCACTTGCCGCTCGATCTCTGACTTCTGAAAGTGCGCGTACCTATAGGGATGCACGTGTACTGCTCGACCCTCCTCGACCAAAGGCATGCGGTGGTCGAACTCCCGGTGCGGCGGCAATCCCTTTGGCTCGTCGAGGACCTGGTCAAACTTCTCGAGCAAGTCAGGCACCTCGCGCTGCCTCTCCTCGACCACTTGGTCGAACTCCTCGAGCAAGTCACGCACCATGACCTGCTTCTCCTCGACCACTTGGTCGAACTCCTCGACCATCTTTGTGTCCTTGCCTGTCTGCTCGACCACGACAGCGTACAACTGTCCGCCACCTCGCCACACCTTCTCGACGCTTTTTAGACCAACCTCCTTGGTTGCCCCTTCACTAGCCTTCAAAGTAACGAGCTAATCACCGGCCTCGAACTTCATCACACCTTTCCGGTAGTTAGTTGTCACATCTCTGAGTCCCTTGAGCCACTGCACCCCAAGCACCACATCCGGCCCCACCAAAGGCAAGACAAATAAATCCGCCTTCACCGTCACTCCTTGAAACTTGATCAGCACACCCCGGTACATCTCCGAGCACCGCAAGCGGTCGCCATTCGCCACCCTAACCTCGAACGGCTCAATCGTGGTAGTGGGCAACTTGAGTTTGTGCGAGAGAGTCGCATTAATGAAATTGTACGACGACCCATTGTCCACGAGTACCGTAACCCGCCGATCCTTCAACCACGCCGGTAACTTCATAGTCCTCAGGCCTTTAGTGCCCGCCATCGCATGGACTGAGATCTCGACCTCGTCATTGAGCACGTCCACCTCCACCTCCCCTTCTTCCTCGATCACCGGCTCCTCGTCATCCGAGTCCATGAACTCGATCAAGAAATTCGGCTTGCACTGATGTCCCGGCGTGTACTTTTCCTCCCACCGGAAACACAGCCCCTTCTCACGTCTCCGTGCCATCTCCTCCTCCGTGAACCTCTTCACCTCAGTTGCTGGAGGCCTAAATGTGCCCGGCGGCCTCGCGTTCGCACTAGGTGTGCCCACGGTCGTCGGCAAACGCCGCGGCTCTGGGACACAAAAATCCGCCCGTCCCCTTTGAGTCGCTGCCAAGTGATCCTCCCGTCTCCTAGCAACCTCCATGGCCCCGTGCATAGTCTCCGGTCTATCCAATCGCACCTCGGCCGCGAGATCATACCTATGTCCTCCAACAAACGCGCCAACAAGCGCGCTCTCCGGCCACCCGTGAACCCGGCACGCCAATCTCTCGAACTCCTTTTGGTAGTCACGTACACTCCCCGTCTGCCGGATCCGAGTCAGCGCCTCGTCGTGGTTATGATAGTCTGAGTTTCCAAAACGCGTAAGAAGATCACGTTCAAAATCTTCCCAACAGATCGGTTGTTGCCGCCCGCGATACACGCACGTGAGCCACTGCCACCATACGTTAGCCTCACCATCTAAATAGTACGCGGCATACCGAACCCAGTCACGTTGTGGCATCTCATTTAAGTCGAAGAATTGCACCGCCCTGTTCAGCCAAGCGTCGGGGTTGGTTCCCGTGAACGTCGAGAGCACGATCCTTGGCTTCTCGACGCGGGCTCGCTCCTGTATGTTTGACGCCTGCGACCGCTGTTCGTATTCATCCTCCTCCTCGGGGTTGTGCTCAGCCCGCTGCTGCTCCTGTTGCCTTAGACACTCGCGTGCGTTCAACCGTGGTGGCTCCTGCTGCTGCTGTCGCTGGAACCGCGCAGCACCTCCTCCAGGCGCTGCTCGAGGTGAGCCACGGCAGCATTGGTGCTGATCTGTCCCTTGTCGAGTGATCAAAACCGATCCTCCATGCTTTCGGTTATGGCCTTGAATTGTCCTTCCAAACCTTCAACCTTTTCCTTCAACTCTCGATTGGCCATATCTTTTCTGGCTTGCCTACGTTCTCGACTTCCCAGACTAATTTTGATTGATTTTTTTTTTCTTAGATTTTGACGATTTTTTTTATTTGCCTTTTACTTTTTTTTTTTGAACGAACGAAAATTAAGAAAGAAAAATTAAAAGAAAATGGAAAAGGAAAGACACACGATCGACTCTCTCAATGAAAGCACCAACGATGAAGACCGTGTGTCTCGACTGTCGACAAGCCGCTCCCGCGCCATAAATCGCTCGATAGGTGTTAGGAAGTCGCACACTCGCAACCTTTCTAACGATTATAATTGCAATAGAAATCAGGAAGAAAATTAGAGCAAAGAGTTTGAACAAAAGTTCGGATTTTTGTATTAATTTTTGAATAATCAAATTAACAAGAGGAAGGGCCTTTATATAGGCATCAACTAGATCTAATCCTAATATAACTATAACTTTAGTAAAGAAATAAAATATTAAGTGTCCTAAATAATCTAGATATCATAAAGCAATAAGGAAACTAAATAACTAGGGAATCTAATGCCTTGGCTTGCACTCTAAGTTCGTGTTTCCCAATCGCCCAAGCACCAGGGCTTCATCTTGCATTCCCGCGCACGCGTCCAGCAGCTCGCCTAATCCTCGCGCGCCTAGGCAAGTTCGCGCGTGCATCCCGTCGCTTGAGCGTTCAAACCTGCGCTCGTCCCCAATAATATCGAGAGCATCATCTCCCGCGCGTGCTCGCCCGTCCGCGTATCGCGCCTCTCCGGCACGACGACTTAGCCTCCTTCACGCATGACACGTGCGACTCGCCGCTTTCTTGAGCCTTCTCGCCGTGTCCGCATCACGCGCGTGCGACACGGGCGCGCAAGAGACCCAGTCCGCGAAGGAGTGCGAGACGCACACACACGCGTGCGACGCGCGACATGAGGCGGCCGAAGGGGATAAGGCGGTCGAAGAGTTTGGTTGGGGCGATATGACTTGGGCTTCAAGTTATGCTTGGAATGCAAGTCAAGACAATTAGTATTTTGGTAGTAGTAGGATTTTATTTCCTTGTTGCTTTTATTTACGAGTAGTAGAAGATGTTAGGAGATTTACTAGCATTAGGATTTATTTTATTGTATAGAATAGGAGATCTAAATCTATTAGGCTTAGATTTATTTTGCAACTATAAATACCCCATGTACCTCATCATTATTAAAAGTCTGGAATTGAGTATTGATATGGTGAGCCAATTGAGAGGGGAACTTATGTTCTTACGTGTGTTTAAACAAGGCCATTAGTGCGTGGTTACATACAGTGTCGGAGAGAAGGCCATGAGAGCGTCTTGAAGTCTCAGTGTCTAGGAGAAGGCCCTGGTACGTCTACTAGATACACCTATCGCGAGTAATCGAAGGTCCTGAGTGCGCGATTATTCACAACCACCGTATAGATAAAAATACGATCCGTCATCAGCGCGGCTGCGCGCGCGCTGGGCTGCCTGTGCGCGGCTTGGACGCGGGCTGCGCGGGCTTGGCAAGCTCCTTAGGGCCAAATGACTTGGAAATTATTTCTAAGTGTCCGGTTTGACCCCGGTTTGACTTTGGCTCCGTTCGACACAAATTAAGATAAATTAAAATAATATTTATAGTTATACATAAATATCCACATTTTTAATATTAATATAAATTCATGAAAAGCACATAAAATTCATTTAGGCAATTAGACAATTAAATATAAAACAACAATTAATAATAACAATTAATAATAATAATAATAATAATAATAATAATAATAATAATAATAATAATAATAATAATAATAATAATAATAATAATAATCCATTTATTCATAAACGAACGGGGCGTTACAGACAGGGACCATGGAAGGAGATAACTCGAAGAAAAACCTGAAAAAGGAGATGGATGCGACGTGGACTCACAGGGCCTTTGGGACAGGTCCCCCGTCGGGATGGTCGTCGTTGCCTATCACCCCCAAATAGACGTTGTTGGCCTCGAACTCAACCTTGACACCAACGCCAGAAGCTCAGGGGCACTCGGTGAACCCAGGAGGATCGGGTGGTTTGACAGACAACGGGAAGAAGGTAGGCACCTCGGTTGATGGGGGAGTGAATCAGGTCATTTCGAGATCTGGGGGTGCCGTGGTCATAATGGCTCCTTTGATAACAGGCAGGTGGTCGTCCCTGGTAACGGGCAGGTGTTTGTGGCAGGAGGACAAAACCCTCCGGAGGACAATGTTTCTTCAGCAACACGGGAGGATCCGGTTATTTAGATTACTAGGTCCGAGTTAGATAGGATCATTGATGAGGCGATAAGCCGAGCTCAAGAGGTGAACCACCCGTGCCTCAGTAGCAGCCCCCCTCGCATCAGTAGCAGCACCAACGTTTGGAGCGGGGTGATGATGATGATACAAGGTCGGTGACCTCTCGCCCAGCTGCAACGACACAACCGAATGGGTTAACTTTGGAGAGGTTGGGGCTCAGATGCGGGAACTCCAAGCTCGGATTCAGGGTAAGAGAACTATAGTTTCACGAGGACACTCTTTCGTAGAGGATGGCTTAGGAGGGGATTTTCCTAACAACTTCAGGGAGTTGAGTTTGTCCTATGATGGATCGGCAGACCGAGCTAGGAATTTGAGACGGTTTCACAACATAGTCGTGCCGCACAAGTATAGCGATGCTGTGAGTTGCCAAACCTTCTTGACAACGTTAAAGGGGTCGACGCAGGATTGGTTCCACTAGTTGCAGCGAGATATATCGATAACTTTGAGAAGTTTAGCTCTCTGTTTCTGAATCTGTTCGCAAGTGCCAGGAAGCATGAGAAGACGTATCTCTCACTAATTAACATGCAACAAAAGGACGGGGAGACCTTGTGACAATATGTAGCGCGGTACACTAAGGAGCACGTGGAGGTTCATTCTACCTCAGAAAAGGTAAAAGCTGGAGGTCTTACGCCGTGATTGAGGCCTGGGAAATGCAGGGATTCATTGGCAAAGAGGCCAGCGAGGTTCTTCGACGAACTACATGAGAGGTGCAAAAAATATGTAAATATGGAAGAATCAAAAGCGGGCTTCATCAGAAATGACAAGACAAAGGCTAAGCAGGTAGAGGAGAGGCCTTGATAGGGTGATCGACGAGCTGCCCCTAAGGAGGCTAGGGTCGAGGATCGGTTCAGGGGTCCGAGGTATGAGCATTACAAGCTACTTAACGCACCACAACAGGAGATCCTGGAGATGATAGAAAAACGAAGGGAGGACAAGATGCTCGCACAACTAAAGCCTCTATCCGTACCGTAGAAATTTTCGGCATCAAAGGACAGATATTGTCGGTACCACCGCGATTATGGCCACTCTACAATTTTTTGCCGAGAGTTGAAGGATGAAATTGAGCGGCTCATTTGGGTCGGTCACCTAAAAGAGTTCGTGATCAAGGATAAAGAGCGCCAAGAGGATCGTCAGGAAGGGCGTGAGTCGGGTGACAAGCGAAGGAGAATTGATGAGCAACATTACATACCAGTTAAGAAAGGTATAATAAACATGATCGCGGAAGGTCATATAGATGTAGATTCACATAGAGAGAGAAAGAGGACTTATCGGGGAATGGGTGTTGCCGATTAGGTGGCCGAGATGCAGGTGCAGAGGAGCTCGGCTACTCTGAAGTTTGGAGTTGATGATGTGCATGGGCTTGTTGTCCCACATAACGACACCATGGTCATCACCGCTGAGGTGGCTAGCTATGATGTGCAGAGAGTGCTCATAGACATGGGGAACTCGGCGGATATCATTTTCCTGAAGTGTTTACAGCCGATGGAGTGAGACGTAAAGGTCGATCAGGTCCACACTGCTCTCTGTGGCGTTAGCGGCAACTAGGTCTGCCCCGTTGGAGAAGTTAGTTTGACTGTGGCATTGGGAAGGTCAGCTCTGAGGAAGGTCAGTATGGTCTGTTTCCTGGTCGTGGATGCTAGCTCGGCATACAACATCATACTGGGGCAACCTAGTTTGAATTTATTCAAGGATGTCGTTTCTACTTATTGTATGAAGATTAAGTTCCCCGTAGGGAATGAAGTTGGAGAGGTGACGGGAGACTAGCTACAGTGTTGGTGTTGTTATGAGGTCACATTGAAGACAGCCGAGGCACAGTATAAAAGAAGGAAGGACGACCTGCCCGAGTGTTCACACCGAGAAAAGAAGCAACAGTTAGGGATAAGCTCCTAGGACAAACTTATGGAAGTCGACCTGTTAGAAGGGAATCTGACAAAGACAACGAAGGTAGGTCAACACTTGGCGGTCGACACTCAAAGCGCGTTGATTGGACTATTAAGAGAATTTGTGGATGTCTTCACCTTTTCATCCGACGACCTCATAGGAATCAATCCCAGGGTGGCAGAGCACAGGTTGAACATTGATCTAACTATGAGACCGGTGAAACAGAAAAGGAGGAACTTTGGTGTCGAGCTAGATGTGGTTATTGAAGCGGAGGTGGAGAAGCTGTTGAAGGCGGGGCATGTACGACCCATTCAATTCCCGAAATGGCTGTCGAATTCAGTTATGGTGAGAAATGGAGAAGGAATGTCAAGGATGTGCATAGACTTCAGGGACCTCAATAAGGTTTTCCCTAAGGATCACTACCCCTTACCATGTATCGACTAGCTCGTCGACTCTACGGCCGGGTGCGAGTTGCTGAGTATGATGGATGCATCAAAAGGGTACCACCTAATACCTCTCGCCAAGGAGGACCAGAAGAGGGTTAGCTTTATGACATCAAAGGGCACTTACTGCTACGTCATCATGCCTTTCGGATTGAAGAATGCAGGAGCCAGTTATCAACGATTGGTGGGTAAAATGTTCAAATGGCAGATAGTTCGGAATATGGAGGTCTATGTCGATGACATGTTGGTTAAAATTATGAAGGCATATGACCATGTGCAGACTTGAGCGATACCTTCGATACTTTGCGGCAGTACGACATGAAGCTCAACCCGGCCAAATGTAAGTTCGGGGTAAGGTCAGGAAAATTTTCGAGGTACCTGGTGACAGAGAGGGGCATAAAAGTCAACCCAGAAAAGGTGAGAGCGGTGGTTGAGATACAGACACCAAGGAACTTGAGGGAAGTGCAGATTCTAACCGGACGCCTAGCGGGGTTAAGCAGGTTCATAGCTCAATCTGCAGAAAAAATGTAGCGCCCTGTTCGAATATTGGATTTTTCCGGAGTATTTGAGTTATCGTATTTATTTTAATTGTGTATAGTCCGGCAATTACTCAATATTCTTCATTTATAATTATTATTATTATTTAGGCTTAAAGGTAAATAAAACCATGACCTTTAAGTTTTTTGCAATTTAATCTCAACTTTAAGCTAATTGCAAATAAATCGCAACTTTTTTTAATTTTGGTAACCCGAACCCAAAGTTGATCGACAGCGAGCTCTGTGCCTACGTGTCTGGGCAGACAATCTCACGTGTCCTCAGACATCGCTGACGAGGATGCCACACAGTCACACACACACACACACAACAAAGGGTAAAATTGTAAAAATAACACTTAGATATATATAAATTGATTTGTTCATCAATATTCACTCTGAGTATGTAAAATTAGGGCTAGGAGAGTTTCCTGCGATTTTCCTCACCACAATTCGATTATGTTTGTTTGTATTCTTCATTTTCTACATGTGATTCGATAATTAACGCAAGAAAAATTGGTCCTGAAGAAGGAATTGGCGCCAGTTGTTTGTAATTTTCGTGCATCGACAATGGGAAAAAACAGGTAGATTGGGAAGCTTCGAACAGGTGATTTTCAGGATGTCTACCTCCTCACCGTGACGGCATTCCTTTCGGCTGTGAAGCTTCGAACCGCCACCGCTCCGAGAACTTTGGCCTTTGTGGGAAGAGAACGAGATTTTCAGAGGTATGTGGGATGAGCAACTCAATTAGGTTTGTAATTGGGAACGAGAAGCTCGGAAATTGGGAGATGATGTCAAAAATTGGGCGAGGAGACCGTGAATTGGGCGATGACATCGTGAATTGGGCGATTAGGGTTGAATTTGGGGAAGACATGAAGCAGACTCCTGAAATGCATTTTTATTTGTGTGTGTGTGTGTGACAGTGTTGCATCCTCGTCAGCGACGACTGAGGACACGTGAGATTGTCTGCCCGGACACGTAGGCACAGAGCTCCCTGCCGATGAAAATTGGGTTCGTGTTGCCAAAATTAAAAAAAGGTTGCGATTTATTTGCAATTACCTTAAAGATGAGATTAAATTGCAAAAAGCTTAAAGGTCGTGGTTTTATTTGCAATTAAGCCTATTATTTAATTAGATTTTGTCTAATGAATATAATAAGTCGTATATTTTATTCGCCGTGTATTTATTTTTCGTTGTCAATCGAATCGATCGAAAATTCTTGATATCACGTTGTATTTATCTCAATTGGGATTTTATTTCCATCTCATTGAGTTATTTTTATGGCCCAAATCTTTTGTTTTAAATTTTAGCCCAACATGGTAAGTATATTTGGGCCATTTTTGTCCCACTCACGTGAATACCTTGTGAGCAGATAAAATTCCTTGGCTTTTCTCTCAGCAGACTCGTTCTTCGCTTTTCAAATAGCTGTCGCGATTTTTCGATGAGATTCTCTTTCAAGATCGCACGACCCGCCCTCGTTCTCCTATATCTCGGCCAAGGAGTTCATTTTCTCCGGAGAATCGTTCAAACCTTCTCTCCTTCTCTCTAACTACAGCGTGCTCCTTTAAAAAAAAAAGGAGCCTACCTGCACATACGGGCGGAAAACCATCATCTCCGGCGAACCCCAACCATCCTCGCCGGTGTCTGTAACACCCCACTTTGATTTTAAAGAAATTCTGGACTTTCCAAAAATTAGTAAATAATTTTTCGAACTCATTTCCAGAAACATGGGCGTTATCCAAACATTTAACCTCAACCAAGTATCTGGTTGCTCGGGGATTCATTACCCGGTTTTCACATGGTTTTTATTAACTTGATTTTCAACATTCTCACAAGTTATTCAGCTCAAATACAATAGCAGGAAATAACTAAGCAACATGATAACCATGTGAAAACTGGGTAATGAATCCCCGAGCAATCGAATACTTGGTTGAGGTTAAATGTTTGGATAACACCCATGTTTCCGAAAATGATTTTGAAAAATCATTTACTGATTTTTGGAAAGTCCAGAATTTCTTTAAAATCAAAATGGGGTGTTACAGTTTGGTATCATAGCCAGTCTGCATTTGTGTAGACTGGTCTATGTGTAAATTACTTGTTTATGTGATTTAGACCTTGTGTATTGACCACTCGTCTTCGTCACGCCGCACTGCTTAAGGTATGTTCTTTATATAAGTATCGATGAAAATACTTATAATGTGAATTGTGAATTTGTTCATAAGTAGTAATGAAACTACTTGTGATATACATGTTATTTTGGGGCTTAGGAAAATCTATCCACCTTAGGTTATGTGAACTTTAGTGTTTAACGTTGAACTTTAGTGATATAGAGTTAAGTTTCAACTCTAGAGGTTCCTCGTTGTGAGTTGCAGTATGTTGTTGTCGAGTTAAGTCCTGCCCGTAACAGTTTCCCTTTCTATAATTCTATTTAATGTCTCCAAGTGAGGACCCAGTCAATGAGGACCGGGAATGTATTCGTTTTTCTTCAGACCCTTGTCGGGTTTTAAAAATTATGAGATGAGTCGTTGTTTTATAGGCTGCCAGTATTAGGGATGTTGATGGCCTCTGTTCAACCTCTGGTATTATATGTCCCTTGTGTCTTATTAAGAGTGAGTTCATGCTAGCTCGAAGCATGATTAGTTGGGTAAAAGATAAGAAAGTGTGTTTTATTGATGCTCTAGCATGTTTATATGATTTGGTTAAAGCTAGAAAATTTCTCTCAAAACTTGTGATTTGAATTTGAAATAGATTTTTATATGAATTTTCAAAGTTAAACGGACATGCAGCTTTTATAAACTCGGACAGGAACTTTGACCTTAGTTCATGGCTGTTTTTGATGATCTTAACGTGCCTGTATGAAAATGCATTCTTCATGACAAATGTATTATATGATGTAAGCTGCCTGTAAAAATTTTAATCTGGCAATTTCGAGTTCCAGTTGATTTTATATGATTTTTTTGTAAGTGGGATGTGCACCCAGTTTTTATGAAAACCAAGAATTTGTATAAGTGTTGAATGTGTGCTCTGTTTAGATGACTTAAACGTGTTCGTATGAAAAAGTCTTCTGCATGAAATTTGTATATTTCCATGTGTAGTTTTTGTAGGTTTTGAGTTTGCATGAATTGGAGTTGTGTAGCTTGAGTGGTTGCCATATTACTTAGGTGCTGTACATTCGAAAAAAAATAATTGTTCTCTAGCTGGGTTTATGAACTGAATGTTTTATATTTAAACTTGTTGATAATGTCATTATTTTCCAATAGGGTCTTCAGAGAAGTTGTATAGAATCGAGATAGCTATCTTGGAGTTTTTGAATTTCAGTAATATCATGTCTGTAGCATCGCTTATTGTGCATACACTGAGAACCTGTCAAGCTGTATGTCTTCATTTATCTACTGCACCTATGTTTTGTATTTTTGTTGTATTATGTGCATTTAAATGATTTTATCTTCTTGAGTGTTCTTCATGAAAGTGATAGAGGCCTGAGTTAGAGATATTTTCCAAGTGGTTTCATCCTGATACGATATGTATACTGAAAGCTATATGCATTTTAAATTCATCACACATGTTGGAAATTGGTGCAAGTTTATGTTTAGGTTTCCAAATTGAGTTGTGAATTTCAAAAATTAGCTTTTCGTCAATTTTCATGTATATGTGCCCTATGTGACTTAATTTGATTAGTATTATAATGTTAGCTAGAAACACTTGCGAGAGAAGCTTTACGCTAGACCTCGAAGTGTGAAAGCTATAGGTTGTGTACGTGGATGAACTCGTTTAGGACTGCCGACACGATTAGCTACTGGAGTAAAATCTATCGTGATGGCCGACACTGTTTGTCGGAAGAGTCAAGCGAGATAACCATTCTATTGTTCGGAGATGACCGCCGAGTTAGGATTATTCCTGGCAGTGATGCCAATATTCGATTCCTTTGGTAAATTTTTGTTGTCAAACCCACCCCTTAGTAGTTTCGAGTCTTGTCGAGAAACCCTTTGTCCTATCGGTGTTCCTAGGAAATTGTGAAACCCAGAAATTGAAATTGTTGGTATGTGCCTCGAACCAACGCCGAACCTGACTGGGTGTAGCCACGTGAAGTGGTGGCCGAGCCCGCACGCCCGTGCTGAGAGACGTCAGGCCAACTGCAATGGCCGACCGTTGACTCACACGAGAGCTGCCGCCGCCATCACCGAATGCACGAACTACCAAGTCAGTGTCTACGGCCAAACCTTGACCTTGTAGCTGGTATCCGAGTGGGTACACGCACGCATCCCAACGTCCCGCTTATGCAGTGCTAGCGTATGTGTAACACCCTGCTATTTCATGAAAATCAGAGTGCGTTTTTCGCAAAGTTTTTCAAAATAAAAACATTTAACTTGGGAAAACTGATTCGGAGTGCTACCATAAAACTTAACTTAATCTGAAGAACCGTTATTTTAATTTTAAGGAAAACAAACAATTTAACATAACATTTTAACCGACTAAAAGTCAGATCAAAAGCTAAGTTCGTCAAATAGTCGTAATCAGCGGAAAAACGTAGCGTTGTAAAAATATTTTTAAACATGAAATCAAAATCCTGAACTGATCGCCAGCTCACTCCTCGGCTCTGACCCTGTGACTTGAAAAACATGAATAGTGTGGGGCGTGAGCACTAAATCCTTTGTGCTCTGCAGAAACTCATACTAAAGTAAACAGTGAAAATAATTACAATAACATGATCCTGACATATATAACTGAACTGAACTGAACTGAAACCGGTACTGAATAATCATGATCTGATACTGAGGTCGTGATAATCGTCACCTGACTGATACATGAACATCTGCCAGCACAAATGCCGGACACCATGTGCACACTCTAGTGAGCAGACTAAGGCCACTAGAACCCAGAATGGACCGGCGACCATTCCGAGCGGATACTGATAATACATACCTCAAACATGGTAGAATAATTATAATCAATGTAATACCCAGTCTGAGTCCCCACCTGATCCGTCTAAATAAAAGGTTGTGCTGATAATCGTAGCTTGATTAAACTGAAACATAATATAAACAATTACTAAATACTATGCTCAGACTGATAAAAATAGTTGTTTAATATGTTAAGATGCTCTACTAGACTTGACATGATATTTGGACTTAATCGGTATAATCAGAACCGGCTAAAATCAGAACTGAACTGATATGAATTTACTGTACTAGATCGGACCCGGAATTTAACTGAAAATGGAACTTAAAACATGAACCGGGATTTAAACATTAAAATATGGGTCGAACCGGTCTAAACCGATCTGAACCGGATCTGAACCGGTCTGGCCGGACCGCCGGCCTGCTGTGGCCGGGCAGTCGGCAGTTGACTCGGCCCACAGCCCTACTGCGGCTGCGGGAGCGGTTGCTGCCGAAACTGGGCGCGGCCGTAGCGGCTACAGGCCTTGTGGAGGCCTTGGGCAATGGTGCTGCGGCGTTTGGCCGCGGCTGACGTGAATTAGGCACGATTGGGCGCTACTGGACGTGCATGAGGCTGACTGGCGCTGTCAGACGCTATGTACGTTGGCACCAAGCGCCGCTAAATGCTGTCGGTCGCTACCGCGCACCGCGACATGCGGCTGGACACATGAATGCGCACACTGGCGCTGGCTAAACGCGATTGGGTACCGCGTGGGTGCCGCCGTGTGCCTTCCGCGATACTGGCTACTCGAGCAGGCTGTTGGGCGCTTCCGAGGCCAATTGATGCGCGCTGCCGTGCGCTATCGCACGTTGGCGTGCGCGACTGGGTATTGGCGTGCGCACGCGCACTGCCAACTGTTGGCTGCTGCTGCGGGTAACTACTTGCTACGGCCCACGGGCATGCAGGCGCACTGGCAGCCCGTGCTGTCTGACAGCCGTCGCGCTGCTGCCGCTAGGTGCGGGCAGCGCGACCACGACTGGCCCTTGCCGGCCGTGCGGAAACTTCCTCCGGAAACTCCCATTCAATTTAACATGACTGAACATAACATCATCATATTTACTAAATATACTAAATTTCATAACATTTTGCTCGATGAACTAAAATGGTTGATGGTGTGCGCCCGTGCACCGCCTACGGCTTTAAGCCGATTATTCGACTGAACATGAAAACTTCTCGACCATCATGAATTTACTGAGTATAAATTGACATATAATGATCAAATAAACATGAATTGCTCGGGAGTTGTCGAATAAAAATGGACAACACTCGGTATGAACCTACATAGCCTAAACCGAGTTTAATCAAGGTTTTTGCATGAATTTCTGGACATGAACTGAACAATTAACCCTAACATGATCTTACTAACATGAGTAAAGATTGAGGATGAGATTACCTCTTCAAACTCTCCGAGATTTGAACAAGATCTCGCGTGATTCCTCGTCTCGTGTGGGCGTGCGTGTAAACTTATTAATGATTAGATAAATTAGCTTAACTTTTGTTGAGGACTTAATATAAGTGTAAGGTAAAATATTTTCCCTACACTTCTCATAAATAAGGAACGCATGAAGGTAAAATTTGGGAGGAAAATAGTAGCCAATCCTCCTTCGCCATTTGCTACTCATTTAGAGCATTAGGTGTCTTCTATTTTGCTTAGTCATCTCTTAATAAAGTCACAAGCTTCCACCTATGTTAAACAATGATGAAAGGAGAATGTTTGACCATCTCCCTTCCTTCGGCCATAAGAAATTCTCACGGCATTAACTTTAATGAAACATTACTTTAATTATGCTAATCGCCATTTGTTAAGGAATTAAGGGCGTGCACAA